CCTCCGCGCACAAAAAATGAGATGGGCATCGCTGCCTACGCCGACGGCCAGAGGCCCGCGCATCTACATTTTTTCGCCTGACCCCATCAGTGCCGACCCAACTACACCACCACGCGCATGCCTCGCGGCGGATATGCGCAGCAGCAAGAAGGTTTCGGTCATCCCTTGAGGGTGAGTCTAGCCCTGCTCGCCAGAAAGACCCCCCCCTTCACTACAACCCATGTCTAAGCAAAAGCTTGTCGAGGAGCGAGGGGAAGAAGGGAGAGAGCATACTACCGGGGACAATTTAGGCCACTTTTCCGCCCCACCTTGCGGCCCCACTTTCATCACGCTCGCATACGACAACCGGGGTGGAGCCCGCTGTCGTACTCGCAGGGCAGGACCACACCATCACAAGGGAGGTCATTTGCCAGGACAGCGCGGGATTTATTCACGGTGAGTCCTATGAGTCCTTGTGTCATGACCTCGTGATGGCAAGACCACGGGGTAGGTGCGAGCCGAAATCCAACTACCCCGCACGTCGCAGGCGGGTTTGTCTCGCTGGAGTGGGGGCACTTCATGCCGTCGCGTGTGCCGTCAGTGCATGTCTCAGGCTCGCTTGGGGAGAAATCCGTTTGGAAAATAGTCTCGTATACGCAGATTACTCGCCAAAAATGCGGATCATAATCTCACCCGCAAGCGAGGGACCCTCTCCCAGAGGCAGCAGCAGCAGCAGCAGCAGCAGCAGCATTTGTTTTTTTTGTTTAAAAATGCATGCGCATGTTTTTCGGCTCGGATGAGAGTGGGGCGTACGCAACGCCAGCACACGCCGATGACGAACAGACCAAGCTTTTGGCTTCCAGCATGCCCTCGGGTTCAACCTTGATGTTGTTGTGTAGCGACCACCGATATTCGATAAAGGCTGACCATTTGACTACGTGCACAGTCATCGATGACTTTGCACGTAGTCTAGTCAAATGGTCAGCCTTTATCGAATAAAAGATACACTCTCGGCTCGTAGCCAATCCCAGTGGATCTGATAGGGTATAGTGATCTCCGGGGACGGACCCCTCGCCACAAGATGCTGCTATTAGCCGATAATGGTGCCTTGAAGGCGATCCACTGGGATTCGAACCCGTGCGTTAATCCTTTATTCGCTAAATAAAGGCTGACCATTTGACTACGTGGACAGTAAGACAGAGTTACTCCATTAGACTAGTCAGCGCTGACTAGACAAATGGTTTCACGACTGGCGGCAAAAGTTTTACGCACGGGTTCGAATCCCGGCTACTCACTTTTCCGAGCATCATTATGTTCTTTTCGGTCATCGCCTGGCGAGGGGTCCGGCCCCGGAGATCCCTGCTCTCAATCCCAAGCTCTAGACCCAAGTGATACAGCCGGGTGCCAACGAGCTGAGCGTATATCTTTCGAAAGATAAAGTTACACCATTAGATAAGTCAGCGGCTGACTTATCTATGACTTATCTAATGTTGTTGTTGTTGTTTGTCTTCACATTAAACCGTATGTCAGTTGCTAAATGCCAAAATCTAGCAAAAGACTCTCAGCCCGTGGTCACGAAAGTGCTAGAGCCATCTGAGCATCTAAAGAACACGCACACATCTGACGAGAAAAAGGTATGCAAGAGCCCGAAGAGGTACACCTAAAAATCCCTGCAGCACCGTATGCGTGCCCAAAAACTGAACTGCACGTCCGTCCCACC